GATCTCAATTTCAGTGAAAATAATCGTGATTATCATTTTTGCCATAATCGAGCAGCCCTAGTGCAAGTTATATTTTGTTATTCGATTCGCAATAGCTTTGTGCTTCTGTAGGTCAGACTGTTCATTCAGCAGTTCATGGAGCTGGTTTTATAACATTACCGACAATGAAATAATGTCACTCCTGCTTTGCTTTTGCAATCAAACACAAACATTTTTGCATTTCTCTGCGGTATGAGTGTGCTATGCGTGTGTAGTTCTAAATCTGCATAGCGTGTTTAAGTGTATGGAGGGCTTGGAGTGTCAATAAATACATTATTAAATATTTAATTAAATGTATCATTAATGAATTAAAATGTTAAATATTTAAATAATAAAAATATTATTAATTAATACAAAAAATAATTAAAAATTAGTTATTAAATTCTTTAAATGATGATACTCGATTTTTAAGTAATGATTTATATATGTAATTATTTTCAAATATATATTTTTACATATTTATCATGTTGGCAATCACCTTGCAGCATGTAAAAATGACCTTGGATTTAGCCTTAAGCATCATTTCATTTTCATTTCAGAACTGTAGCATGTTATTTATATCCATAAAAGGCAGGGGCGGCTCTAGAAGGGTGGCATGGGGTGGCAAGTGCCACCCTAAAATGATCCCTTGCCACCCCAAGTGCCACCCCAGTTTTGCATATGACGGTGTTGTTTATTAAAATAAGATAGCATTAACAGTTTTTATCGTAGTTACAGTCAACAGTGAATATAAATGCTAAAACTGAATATATTGGATAGTGTTCCACCCCTGCACCATTAACAAATGGTTCAGTCCATAGCAGGACCGGCTTTTTTCTTGTTTTCAGTAGCAAGCCATGCTTATGATTGTGCCAGAGCACATTTTGAACAACACCATGGGAATTTTGGATTTTACACAGGTGGTTGGATGTTACACTCTGGAAATGGAAGGAAGGTGAGTGTTATTAACCCTCCGTGGTCCACGGACACGCTGCACCTCCAAATCACATGACTATTTTAAGCTGACATAGCAAAAAGCTGCAGCCATGCTGAGTCTCTATTTCAGCCCACATTGAAAGTTCGGACTTTAAAGTTTTTACATTTTAATTACAGGCCAGTAAATCCAGAGTTATGATAATATATATAAGCCATGCTTTTTTTCTAAATACTGTCGTTACGTTTTTGTGTGTGTGTGTTTTAAGCATTTTCTAAGGACAGCGCGAAAACAGTAAAGAAAGGGAAAAAAACACCTCTTTCCTATCGGTGGAAAAATGTACCATGTCGACCAATTTAAAAAAAAAAGTCAACATGTGGGATTTGGTTGTTTGGGAAGAGGGAAAAGTTTTGGGAATGACGGTAACGGCAGCGAGACAGAGCAAGCGAGTGAGAGAGAGTTTTTAGATGTGGGAGATTTGTGATGTTTAGTGTGGAGTGTATACTTAGTGTATTGTGTTGTCTTGTGTAGCTGTTCTGTTGTGTAGTCGTTTTGTTTTGTGTGTCAGTAAGGGCACTAATGAATGTCACTAAGGCACATTTGCAATGTAAACACTGTCACTAACCAGCAGAGTGATACACCTCCTGTTGTCAGGCCTGCAGGTTTATCCCTACGCTGTTCTCCTCTGTCTTTTGGTGGACAAACTTTTTTTTTATTGGAACACATCATTTGTGGGGCATCTTATTGCAACACCTGATTGTTCTCTCACTATAGTTTTAGTAATATTTTTAAATGGTTGTAGAAAATGAAAAAAACAAACGGCAGGTGTATTGGCGGCATTTTTAGATAAATAGTTGTATATGTTTACAAAATGAACAATTTATATTTGCATTTCAAGTTATACAAATTTACCCAACATGTCTGTGGGGTTTCTTTTACAGTAAAAAATACTACTAGGATTTTTAGTTCTTTGTGTGATTTCAGATCAGTAATAGTACTATTAATAGTAATAGTAGTACTAATGCAGTATGTCAGTGAAAAAAACAACTAAATTCAGTTGAGCTGAAAAGAATGATACCAAACAAGGCAAGGGGGAAAAAATAAAATGAAACAATTTAAGGGTGAAATACAAGCGTAAACTCAAATGGAGTCAAAAATGGCCAGTTGTATTTCAGACCTCAGTGGGTTAATCCAACAAATCATGAAAAAGTAGGTTAAAATTTTTGTTCATGACAGTGCAGATTTCTGACATTTTGTGTAATTTAAGCTGTAAAAATGTGATTGTTTTCTAACAAAAAACAGTGTGAAACTTAAGTTAGACTTGTGTTTGTAAATGAACCACCCCATGTTGTGTAGCTTTCTGGATTTTATACTTATTGGGCTACATATTTATTTATTATACAGGCTATACAGTACATAACATCAAAACTCACATGTTTTATGTAACTTAAGTGTGTAATTATGTGGACTACAGACAATAATTAAGTTATAGACTATATTTATTTGAAAAATGTGTATACTTACTGCATTTGAATCATTTTAACCATATGTAACCACCTGCATATGTGTTTGGGGGGAAAAAAAGGCTTTGATTTTGCCACCCCCATTTGATTTCTTTGCCACCCTAAGAAAATTTCTCTAGATCCGCCCCTGATAAAAGGTGAATTATAAATGCCTAGCAACCACCTGGCAGTGGGTTAAAAAAAAAAGATCAAATAAACAACATCTACCACCATTTCTTTTTAAACTTTTTTTCAGTGTGATTAGG